TAACGATATTGTAGGAAATTCAGGAGCGCTAGGCTCCAAGTGTATCCCATTGTCCCACGAACCATTCACATTTCCGGAGAGGAAGCTGAACTGGCGAAGAAATGCAGCTGTTAGTATCCCATCCAGCATGACCCGTTTCCCCTGCAATTAGGATCCTTTCTGAAGCGACTTCTCATCCGAAAGCATTACCCAGCCCGTGGACTTGAACGGCTGACAGCCGGAGGCTAGAGTTCTGGGGGTCTCTGGATCCACCCCAGGAGGCTGGCAGCCACGGGCCACTCAGCGTCCTGCAACTCCCCACACTGCATTGAAGGGCCCGCCTCACTACAGACCACCCCAGTGAATGGTACTTAAAATTTACTGCAGCAGCATTTTTCAGTGGTCTCACTCTACAACCTGTGTCTCAAGGGAACCGTTAGAGGTTGGAGACAAGGGACAGTTAGAAAACTCTCCTAAAAAAAAAAAAAAAAAATATTTTGAAGCATGACTTGCATGTTTAAGACTCTTTACTGAATCCAAGGAAAAGTGTTTTTCTTTTGATAATAAAAGAGACTCACAAAGCACGTTCTGTTCTTTGCCTTGACCAAAAAAAAAAAAAAAAAAAAAAATCCACAACTAAGAGGGGGAAAAGTGATGGTGGAGAGAAAAGAGTGAAGGAGAATTGCTGTTATGTATGTAGCAGAGGATTTTTGTTTGCTTTGTTTTGCTGGGGGACCAAAACAGTTAGAAAATACACAATTCGTGTGGCCCCAGGGATCAGTATTTATTTCCATATAAAAATAAGATAGTCATGGCCTAGAGGCAAGGGCTTAACAAGCTGAGCACAGTAGAAAGGAGAAGAAACAGTGAAACTAAGCTTTGGGAACCAAGAACCACCAGCCCTTTCCATCAGTTTCACTGTCCTTGAAGAACAGCTCTTGCGAATAAACGAGCATGCACTGTATCATTTGCACCTTGATGAAGTCAAAGGAAAACATCAAAGTTTGTAAGACCAAATGTGATTATTCTGTGTGTAATATAACGGTTTATAAAATGCTCCACAGACTCCCCTTAGCCTCTGAACATGGGGAAAAGACAAGCAGAAGCAGTCATGTGAGAGGCGGGTTATTTTTGTGCTTCAATATAAAACAAACTTGACCCCAAATAACCTAGAGTGTCACATCCGAAATCAAAGATCCTGCCTTATGATTTTTAGAATACATTTGCGATAAGAACAAGGTCTGCATACGTTGATAAGACATGCAGCAAAAATACACATTTCGAACAAGTCGGTAAGTTGAAAACTCATGGATTGAAAAACAACAACTAGAAAATATTCTTCCTGAAAATTGATGGTATTAAATAGTCACACCCCACCCCAGGAATACTCATTAAATCCCCAAGTAGAAAAAAAGATGGTATCAGAGGATTGTGATACTCAAGTATTTTAATCTGCAGTAAAATCTGTGTGAATTCATGCTGACACAGTTGATCTGGGACAAACAAAACTGCACCTACTAGGGACTTAGATCTGCATAGAATAAAGGGGAAGAGACAAACAGGACACGGCCGAGTTCCTGTTTGTCATGGGTGTTTTGAATGAAATGGGAACATGCTTGCTTGGTGAGTTTATCAATGATCTATCTTCCTAGCAGCATTTCAATGATAAATTTAGTGTTTCTTTTTATTCATATTCGCTACAATGATAGTTTTAACAGAACCAATCAATACGGATTGCTTTTATTAACAGAGCAGAAAGGAGGCTGTCAGCAAAATTACTTTCTCTGGTTACCTAAGACTGTAGAAACAATAGCCTTCTAACTGAAAGGACCTGAGACATGGAGACAGCAAGGGAGATGGGAACCACCCAGAAGCCTTCCACCCAACCACAGATGTGCTGACATCAGCATAAGTGTTTTTCTTGCCCTCTCCCTCTCAATACTTCAATAATTACAAACTCCACTGTAAATACAGAAGGGGACACAAAATTCACATGTAAGGTTTCCTTATTTCTTTGCGGGGGGGGGATTGATTTTGTTTTGTTTCCTTTTAAGGTTTTGAAGAAAAGGTCTAGCTATATAGTTCAGGCTGGCCTGGAGCCTACCATATAGCCCAAGCTAGTCTCAAAGTCATGATTTTCCTTCCCTAGCCAGCTGATATTACAGGCATTTGCCATGCCATGCTATGTCCAGGTTAACACATGGTTTAAAAGTAATTGTGAGTATACTGACAAGAAATGAAGCTGGCTGGAAGCTCTTTTTTTCTGTCTGATGGACTGAATTCAAAGGAGAAAATGGGTTGACCAGTATTGGCGTGTGTTTTTATCTATTTTATTGGGGTTTCTTATGCTTTTACTTCCCTTCTCCACCCCAATCCCTTCCAACACCCCAACACTAGGTAGGTGAGAAAGAAGGTTAATTGGGAGAGGGGACATGGGTCTCTTTAGCTACTTCCTGCTGGTTAGGGTCATTGTATTCCTTTGTGCAAGTCCAATCTTTGTTACAGGATACCCCCAGCAACAGCAACCAGGAGCGGGTGTGTGTGTGTGTGTGTGTGTGTGTGTGTGTGTGTGTGTGTGAAGCAACAATCTCTCTTCTTCTTCTTCATCAACATCATCATCATCATCATCATCATCATCATCATCATCATCATCATCATCTTTTTTCCTTGGAGTGTTCCCACCCCCGCCCCCGGGCTCTGGCATTTATTCCCTCTCCAGAGTCCTCAGAATTAAACTATCTGCAGCTGCCAAAGATCACACCCCTCTCAGAGCCCACATGAGGCAAATCGTCTGCTGCTGTGGACAATCTGAGACAGCCTCACACCCCACACCTGGGATTAAAACAAAAACATGTTTACGTAACATAACTGACTTTTTTAAGGACGCCACCAACCAGTACTTATCACTCTTTGCTTCTTGACGGCTATTGCAATGTGACCAGCTGCTTCATGCTCTTGCCTCATCGTGATGGACTGTATCCCTTCAAACCATGAGTTCAAATAAACCCTGCTCCCTTAAGTTGCTTGTTACATATGCTGTTATGGCAAGGAGAACATTAACTTAGTATCTATTCCTTTCTTCATCCACTGTCCTTTGAATCATTACGGCCCACATATGTATTCCTCAACTGGACACAATGCCCAAGCATTCTACTTTATGTGATGCTCTGTGTTTGCTTTTGTGCCTTGCTTAGTGAGATTCAATTTTGTCTCTGGAAGGTTCATCCTAGTTTTACCTATTGCTGTAGTTTAATTTTCATTATAATATGGCATTCCATTTTATGTCTATGCCACTATTAATCTCTCCCCCCCCCCAGATGTAGGGAGCATAGAAAGCCCTGAGTGAGTGGACCTGGGTGACTGCGTTATTGATATGGGCATGGCTATGTCAAGGACCACAGAGCCTCAGACCTATAAAGAAAATGGCAAAGCCTTCTCCCCTGGGGTGAGGCTCTGAGGGAAATGGTATGTGGTCTCTGTGTGGATGATGATAGTATGTGCAGAGACTGTCCACCATAGCTTTCTCTCCCTAGATGTTTAGGACATGAAGACTACTCCCCTCCAGAGACAGCTCTTACTAAAATTTTAAACCTGTCCTTTTAATCCAGCTGTATACCATGACTACCTCCTTTTTTTATCTGTATGTAATAACCAGTAACCCCCCACCCCCATTCTTGTCTATCTGTATGTAATAACCCTGCCTCTCTTTTCAACTCCATAGAATAAATACACTGAGCTTCCAGGATGCTGTGGCTTCTCCAGTCAAGAGCCCAGACCACCTGATCCCAGCTCATCTGTGTGTGTGTCCATATTTGTCTTTTCTTCATTCCCCTACTGCCCAGTCAGGTCCAAGTCCAGGAAGCCATGTGTCCATTGGTTATCTCCAAGCTGAAGATACCATGAAGATCATTTGGATGCCTGCTCTTCTGAAGGAAGCCCTGTGGCTCTTTTAAAGAGTATGATGCATAGGAGTATAAATGATGTTTCTATGATTTCATATGTATGTTAACTATCGTTTCACTGACTATATTATGTTCTATCCATGGCTGAATAATGGTTTAGTGACCATGCCTTACTTTCTAATTTGTCTTCTGTAATGCAAGTCATTCAAATATTTACCTGTATGTATAGATTTGGTAAAAGTGTTAAATATATAATTGATTTCCCATGACCCTTATCGATTTGCCTGATATGGACTAGAGGAGACCCCCATCCTAAGCTGTCAAACTTCCTGACTCTCAGACCCCACAGTTGGAAGATTCCGAGTCCTATTCTGAGAGGGTGGCTTGAACTGAAATCGTGGACATGCTAAACATGCTGGTTATAGGTGGTATACATTGAAACATGAATGACCTTTGTGTTTAGACTCAGAGCCCATGCCCAACATATGTCTGAAGAAGAAATTTGAAATTTTTATTGATACCAGCAACTTTTGAAGACAGGTTCTCAACTTGTACAGAGAAATAGCTCATCAGAGAGCTGGGATATGACAATTGAGGCAGGAAAAAACCTGCAATGAGCACTGTTGAGCACAATACCAACTTCATATTCAAGACACAAAGTACACAAAGGATAATTACATGGTTGAAGAGTGTGGCAGCCATATTTTACAGCCTGTTTTCTGTTCTCATAAATCCACTCCCTTATTTTCTACTCTGTAAAATTTATAATACTTAAATACCAGCCTTGTAGTCTTACATAGAGATGTATTTATGTTTTGCTGGGAAGACATTGAAGCATTTTCTCAAATATAGTTTCAAGGGAATTGTTTCTTTAGAAAGTATAGTGGGTGTTTGTTCTACAGACAAAATTCTTCAGTTTGGCTTAATATTTCTGTTAAGTTTTTAGTTTTTAAGCTGCCCAATTCGGTCTTAAAATTAAAACATCCTGTTCTCCTGTCTTCAGCAGTTTTCCCTGCATTTTTTTTAAAGTCCTGTAGCAGTTTCCAGTGTAGGCCACTGCGCCTCTATTTGCTGAACTGCTTTGGAGTTCAATTAAACCTTCCATGTGCTTTGACACAGGAACCGGGTTGCTAGGAGAACACCTGTGCCCACAGCACTTTGGTCCAGCGAGAGCAGGAGAGGAGAGTTGTTCCTGGAACCGGAAGAGCTGTTTTACCTGCTACCACCTGAGGATCTCAGGTGAGAAACCAGTCTCTCTTGCCATTCCTCTTTCTCCACCACTTTTCTATCACTCTTATCTTCCTGCTTTTGGAGAGAACAGAAAGAGCCCCAAGGGAACTAACTAACTGAGGACACCAAGACTGAATTCCAAAGCTATGGGAGGGAATCTGCATGTACTCCTGCCTTTCTCTCCCCCCACCCACCTCTTGGCTGAAACACAGGCAAAAGGAACTGCTGAGTTCCAAGGAGCCTCCAGGAGCTTTCTCTGCCCCTGAGTGCTGTATGACTCTGGTAAGATGGTCCCTTCTGTGAGAATGGAGAGCAGAGCCAGTTGTTACAGAAACTGATGGAGATTCCTCTAGGAGGGAGGAGATTTGAGCACAGTGTTCATCTCTTTTAGCCCTCACCTTGCCTTTTTTTTTTTTTTTTTTCTGAGTGAAAACTGTCACATGAAAATGGCCCACTGTTCAATTCTTGCCACGTTGTTACGGTATTTGTGGTCGTTTGAGAGTGGTATACAGAGTCTCTGTTTAAGGCTTGGGAAAGGGTTCATTTGCCTGTTCATTTTCTGAAAAGGAAGTTAAGAATGGTGTTAAATCCCACCCCCAACTAGAAGTTCAGTTTAAAAGTTCCTGCAGTTATGAAAACCAATCACAGTTTAGCACCGTTTGAAAGAAACATTTCTGCAACCCAGAGACATGGTGGAAAGTATGTTTGATGGCGCTCCACTCAGTGGCCAGAACACATCAGAGAGGTCCTAAGGAAAGTTAGAGAAATTAGAAAGAGCCCGCACCATTCGTTTTTGAAAGATGATGTTGCTTCTTGCACCTCCCACGTCTCTGTATGCCTTTCTCATGGGAACACCAGTTGGCAAGTTAGACAGCACGAAAAGACAAGAATCACTGTGGAAGCCTCTTGACCCGTGCCTTGTAGAGAGAAAGGCAAGACTGACCTACAGGAAAACAAATGGCTCTGTGATTAAGAGCATAGACTGTTCTACCAGAGGACCTGAGTTTGGTTCCCAGCACTGCCTCAGGTGGTTCCCAGCTGTCTGGAACCACAGCTACAATGGATCCAAATCCATCTCTGGTCTCTGAGGACACTGCACTCATGTGCAAAAACAGACATGCATAAATTTAAAAAAAATAATTAAATCTTAAAAATAATGACTATGACAAAAAGTCACCAAAATGAGTGGGAGAAAAAAAAATTATTTTAGTTCACTGGCTACAAATAGGTAGACCATTCCTTGAAAGGCTTGTCTTCATCCGAAGAAATAAGGAATATATGCATGCTTTTTGCAAGTTGCTTATCTTCCTCTTTCTATTTTCCAGGGAGCAGGATTGCCTGAATATGAGTGGCAAAAACTGGATATTAATTTCTACTACTTCACCCCAAAGTCTGGAAGATGAAATTCTGGGACGACTTCTGAAAATTCTATTTGTTTTGTTTGTGGACCTAATGTCCATTATGTACGTTGTCATAACTTCCTAAAAAAAAAAAAAAAAAAAAAACCTGACTTCCTTTACTCTGTGTATAAGTTTCAGAGTGAATTCCAGTGAATAAAAGATCTGCATTTTAATATGATGGGGGATGCTGAGCTGGTGAAATCACCAATTTATTCTAGAAAGGAGACACACAAGAATATGTTTCTTACTTCTTCGCGGTTTACAAGTAATATTCACATAAACTGAAATGGGATTTCTCTCTGTGGAACTTTCACACTCTTAAGTGTAAAAACATTAGCCAGGCATGGGGGCACACATCTTTATTCTCCGCAGTTAAGAGGCAGAGACAGGTGGATTTCTGTGAGTTCACGGCCAGCCTGGTCTACATAGTGAGTTTCAGAAAACCCAGGGCTACACAGGGAGACCTTGTCTCACTCCATTCCACCTCTCAAAAAGCAATAAACATTGTCTGTTTTTTTCCCCGTTTGAACATCATTGTTATTTAGAATACAGAATAAATCTGGTAGGTAAAATTATGAGTGAGGTTTGAGTTTATAAGGATTTATACCATTCTCTTCCGGGGAGGAGGGTTGGGGGGGCAGTGCGCACATCCATGCCTGAGCCTGGCAGCCAGAGGCTGACTCTAAGTGTTTTCCTCTCTAGCTCCCCATCTTGTGTTTGAGGCAGTGTCTCTCGTGGATCCTAGGGCTCACTAGTTTTGCTAGACTGGCTCCCCAGGGTGCTGTCCAGGATCCTCTTGTCTTCATCTCCCCAATGCCGGGATGGCAGACATGTCCGCCCTGTGGGTCCTGGTATCTTAACTCAGGCCCTCATGTTTGCACAGCAAACACCCTAACCCACTGAGTCTTCTTCCTGGGCCCTGTGTAATGGTTTGAAGGAGAAATAGCTCCCATAGGCTGTTTGAACATGTGGTCCCCAGCTGGCGGCACTCTTTTCAGAGGTTTCAAAGTTGTGTGTTTTGAATATTTATAGTCTCCCCCAGTTTCTCATCCATTCTCGGCGTCATGTTTTTACATAAAAATATGACCTCTCAGCTTATTTCTCCTGCCACTTATGCCTGCCTACTGTTGTGCCTCCCCACTCATGATGGCAAAAACGAAGCAAACCCTTCCTTCTCTAAGTTGCTTTGGTCATGGTACTTTAGCACAGGAATATAAAACTTGTCATTCTTTTTTTTTTTAAACTTTTTTTTTAAATTTATTTATTTGTATGTACATTTGATGTTTGTGTGAGGGAATTGGATCCACTGGAATTTGAGTTACAGACCAGACAGTTGTGAGCTGCCATGTGGGTGCTGGGAATCGAACCAGTGTCCTCTGGAAGAGCAGCCAATGCTCTTACCAATGAGCCATCTCTCCAGCCCTCTTTTTTTTTTTTAACACTGCCTACTTAAGCTTAACATCCCATGCAATATATTTCCATGCACTATAATACCAGACTAGACCCATTTAAAAAAAGAAATAAACACACACACACACACACACACACACACACACACACACACACACACA